CGGTGGGTGCAAAGAGTGGGAGAAATGACCCCCCCACATGTCAGTTTACCCCCCCTCAGAGGGCTGCACCTGTGTGTGCACCCACATGCCAATGACATATGTGTAAATGCTCAAACGGACACTCTATTGTACAGGTAGTCCTCAACGTACGACCCCATCTGAGCCCAACATTTACGTTGCTAAGCGAGACGGTTGTTAGGGGAGTTTTGCCCCATTTTATGACCTTTTTGGCCACCCTCCTTAGCAACCTGGTTGTTAGATGGATGTGGCTGCCCCCATTGACTTTGCGTGTCAGAAGGTCGCAAAAGGGGATAGCATGACACACACCCCGGGGACACTGCGACCCGTCATAACTAGGAGTCAGTTGCCAAGCATCTGAATTTTGATCACGTGACCACAGAGATGCTGCAACGGTCGTAAGTATGAAAAATGGGTCATACGTCAATGCCATTGTAGCCTTGGTCACTAAACAAATTATTGTAAGCTGAGGACTACCTATAAAACGGGCATTGGGTGTGTCTAATGACGAGAAGGACCAGGGGTGACATGATAGCAAGTCTTCCAATAGTACATCATTGTCTGAAATGGTAATAGGGTTTCCTGCCTGAGCAGGGGGTTAAGGAGCTACCACAAAGAAGAGCGGGGTCAACTTATTCCCCAAAGCAGGACAAGAAGCCATGGATGGAAACCGATCAAGGAGAGAAGCAACCTAACAGTGAGGACAATTAGCCAGTGGAACTGCTTGCCACCAAAAGTTGTAGGCGCTTCATCACTGAAGGCTTTCAAGAAGAAACTGGACAGCCATTTGTCTGGAATGATTCTAGGGTTTCCTACCCGAGCAGGGGGTTGGACTAGAAGACCTCCAAGGTCCCTTCCAACTCTGTTATTCAGCAAGGCTTCCGTTAAGGCAGAAAAATAATTAAAATATTAAAGCATTATTAGAACTACACAGATTAAGGTTTTAAAAACTAGACTGAAACCGGAACGAAGAGATGGACTGGATGGGAATGAGGTTTTAATAATAATAATAATAATAATAATAATAATAATAATAATAATAATAATAATAATAATATATTATTATTATTATTATTATTATTATTATTAGTTGGAAGGGACCTTGGAGGTCATCGAGTCCAACCCCCTGCTCAGGCAGGAAACCCTATACCATTTCAGACAAATGGCTGTCCAGTCTCTTCTTAAAAACTTCCAGTGTTGGAGCATTCACCACTTCTGGAGGCAGGTTGTTCCACTGGTTAATTGTTCTAACTGTCGGGAAGTTTCTCCTTAGTTCTAAGTTGTTTCTCTCCTTGATGAGTTTCCACCCGTTGCTTCTCGTCCTGCCTTCAGGCGCCTTGGAGAAGAGCTTGACTCCCTCTTCTTTGTGGCAGCCCCTTGGCTACTGGAAGACTGCTATCATGTCTCCCCTCATCCTTCTCTTCGTTAAACTAGACATACCCAATTCCAGCAGCCTTTCCTTATATGTTTTAGCCTCCAGTCCCCTGATCCTCTTTGTTGCTCTTCTCTGCACTCTTTCTAGAGTCTCAACATCTTTTTTACATTGTGGTGACCAAAACTGGATGCCGTATTCCAAGTGTGGCCTTACCAAGGCCTTGTAAAGTGGTATTAACACTTCACCTGATCTTGATTCTATCCCTCTGTTAATGCAGCCCAGCACTGTGTTGGCTTTTTTGGCAGCTACAGCACACGGCTGGCTCCTATTTAAGTGATTGTCCACTAGGACTCCGAGATCCCTCTCACAGTTACTACTATTGAGCAAGGTACCCTCTATACTATACCTGTACATTTGGTTTTTCTTGCCTAAATGTAGAACCTTGCTTTTTTCACCATTGAATTTCATTTTGTTAGATAGTGCCCAGTGTTCAAGTCTGTCCAGGTCCTCCTGTATCCTAAGCCTGTCTTCTGGAGTGTTGGCTATTCCTGCCAGCTTGGTGTCATCCGCAAATCTGATGAGTTCCCCATCTATCCCCTCGTCCAAATCATTGATGAAGATGTTGAAGAGCACTGGGCCTAGAAGCAATGAGTTACTCCTCGGGCCCCCAGTCCTGCAAATATTAATTTCTCTTTTCTCTGTATTTCTTTATAGGTTTCGTCCGCACCTCTACGACATACCTTTACTCAGAAGTAATAGAACCCCTGCAGCTAGAAACGAATTCTCGTTACAAAAGCAAGGTCAGTTTTGTTTTGATTCGTTACTGTGTACATAATCCTGCCCCTCGCTGCCTGATTTGCACATAAATCATCATCCGTAGCTGTCAAGCCACAATGGTTGCGTTCCTGTACTAAGTTCAGGCAAAACAAGAAATGAATCACCAAGAGGATTGCAAAAAAATAACTGACTTTACAGGCCGTTCTTTGTTCCAGTAGTTGGTTTTGGAAGATCTTAGCTATTGCAATTTATAAACCATGGTTTTAGGTTTTGCCCTAATAAAGCAACCCATCTCGTTCATTCATGTCAAAAGATGGATATGCAGGATTTGGTTTCTTGAGAACATGCTCCCACTTCTAAAAATCCAAAAATGCGGTGAACGAGAACTATTGGAGCACAACTAAGTGAAAATTCCTGTTTAGCTCTTCATTAACTAGTTTAGTTTAGTTTAGTTTAGTTTAGTTTAGTTTAGTTTAGTTTAGTATTTTACTTTCTGTTTTTTATTATTTATTTTTATTTACTTTATTTTAGTTTGTTATATTTATTTTATATTTTATTTTAGTTTGTTATATTTATTTTATATTTTATTTTACTTTGTTATTGTATTTTATATTTTATTTTACTTTGTTATTTTATTTTTACTTTATTTCTTTCATTTTTTTTTACTTTGTTATTTTTGTTAGTGGGAGACCAGTATAGCTATTTCAGGCTCATTTTGCCCTCATCAGCTAGTTCAAATTTTGAATACACACACACACACACACACACACACACACAAACACCTAATAAGTATAAAAATGCAAATCCTAGGCATATTTGTACAATAATATAAAACCCTGGAACTCTGGGATGAATATAAAACAGCTGTTTATTGTTAAAACAATAAAAGCAATAAAAGCAACGGGAGGAAAGAGAGTGACAGGACTAGAATGCGGATAAGGAGATGCGGGTCAACCAGAGCAGCTACGGTTAGTTAGAACAGGCGGTCCCATTACACGATCAATGGGTAGAGCACGGAGTCAACTGGGTTTATAAGCAAACTCCCCACCCCAAACGCTTGCTCTGATGACGCTGGCAGTGGACCAGCGAAAGCTAAGACAGTCATTTTAGGTTTTGTAAATAGTTGCTTTTATTGTTTTTTATTGTTTTAACAATAAACAGCTGTTTTATATTCATCCCAGAGTTCGAGGATTTTATATTATTGTGTATATATGTCAAATTTGGATTGCCAACAAAGAGTTAAAGGGAGACTAGTATAGCTATTTCGAGCTATTTAGCTCTCATCCGCTAGCCATACATCTCAGAAGGGTATATATATTCTCCAGAACTTTCATAGATAAACACTCTGCAAATGAACACACAAATCGTCATTCGCAGCGGCATTAAAAAGAACAGGAGGATCAAAATATTAACGAACCCTTTTGCATTTTCTCCATCTACCTTCAGGCATATTTGAGTTACATGATTAAGATGGAAGGGCAATACAAAATTGTGCATCTGAAACAACAGTAAGTGGCTGCTTTGTTTTAATGGGCCGTGGGGGACTGCCTGATGAATTGTGTTTATATCCTTCTAGATTTAACAAAAGCAACTGCTGGTTGGTTTATGTCATAAAACATAAAAACAAACTCAAACTTTTTAAAAAGAAAAATCTCATAAATAACCATAAGTGGAAAATGTAAGTGTAATGAAGACAATGCATAGAATCATAGGGCTAAGAGGGACCATGGAGGTCTTCTAGTCCAGCCCGCTGCTCAAGCAGCAGACAATATACCATGTCAGACAAGTGGCTGTCCAGTCTCTTCTTAAAACCCTCTAGTGATGGAGCACCCACACCGTCTGGTGGCAAGCTGTTCCACTGGTTAATTGTCCTCACTGTTAGGAAGTTTCTCCTTAATTCCAGGTTGTTTCTCTCCTTGATCAGTTTCCATCCGTTGTTTCTTGTCCTGCCCTCTGGTGCTTTGGAGACTAATGTGACCCCCTCTTCTTTGTGGCAGCCCTTCAAATATTTGAAGGCTGCCAAAAAAGCCAACCCAGTGCTAGGCTGCATGAACAGAGGGGTAGAATCAAGATCACATGAAGGGTTAATACCACTTTACAAGGCCTTGATAAGGCCACACTTGGAATACGGCATCCAGTTTTGGTCACCACGATGTAAAAAAGATGTTGAGACTTTAGAAAGAGTGTAGAGAAGAGCAACAAAGATGATTAGGGGACTGGAGGCTAAAACATATAAGGAAAGGTTGCTGGAATTGGGTATGTCTAGTTTAATGAAGAGAAGGACGAGGGGGGACATGATAGCACCCTTCTAGTATCTCAGGGGCTGCCCCAAAGAAGAGGGAGTCAAGCTATTCTCCAAGGCGCCTGAAGGCAGGACGAGAAGCAACGGGTGGAAACTAACCAAAGAGAGAAGCAACCTAGAACTAAGGAGAAACTTCTGACAGTTAGAACAATTAACCAGTGGAACTACCTGCCTCCAGAAGCTGTGAATGCTCCAATACTGGAAGTTTTTAAGAAGAGACTGGACAGCCATTTGTCTGAAATGTATAGGGTTTCCTGCCTGAGCAGGGGGTTGGACTAGATGACCTCCAAGGTCCCTTCCAACTTGATGATGATGATGATGATGTTGATGTCACCCCAATCCTTCTCTTCATTAAATTAGACATAGCCAATTCCTGCCACCATTCACCCCCAATCTACAATAAGGACTAGGAACAATACAGCCAATCAGTCTGCAAAGTTTGCTCCACTTTGGGGCCCGAAATGTCTGAGGAGATAGCCAGGTTAATCCCTTTTTTTTTACATTTTCAGATTCTTTGCCAGGGAAAATATGCCAGTTTATACTTACAATGTGAAGGGAGACCTGGTTGCAGAACATCCATATATTCAGGTAAATTTGATACGTGGCTGCATATCATTTTATTGGCGTCAATCTCGTACAGGTACCCACCTTAACGGATGACCACCGTTGAGCCCAAAATGTATGTTGCTAACTGAGATGTTTGTTAAGTGAGTTTTGCCCCATTTTACGACCTCGCCTGCCACGTTTCCTTAAGCGAATCGCCGCAGCTGTTAAGTTAGCAACACGGTCATTAAGCGAATCCAGCTTCCCCCCCCCCCATTGACTTGGCTTGTCAGAAGGTCGCAAAAGGGGATCGCGTAACCCCCCGGGACACTGACCGTCGTAAATGTGAGTCAGTTATCGAGCATCCAAATGTAAATCACGTGACCCTGGGGATGCCGCGGCGGTCGTAAGTGTGAAAAATGGTCCATAAGTCACTTTTCCAGTACCGTTGTAACTAATAGAATAGAATACAGAATATCTTTATTGTCGTTGTGTAACTCACAACAAAATTAACTAAGCGAACTGTGGCGAGTCTTCTTGCCCGTTTCTGGGCTCCGATCAAAATGCTGGTTTTCTTTTCAGAGTTACAGAGTTGGGGGAGACCTCAGAGGTCTTCTAGTCCATCCCCCTGCTTAAGCAGGAGACCCCATACTCTTTCAGACAAATGGCTGTCCGGTCTCCATTGCTTCTTGTCCTGCCTTCTGGTGCTTTGGAAAATGAGTTGACCCCCTCCTCTTTGTGGCAGCCCCTCAAATACTGGGAGACTGTTATCATGTCCCCCCTAGAATAGAATAGAGCTGGAAGGGACCTTGGAGGTCTTCTAGTCCAGCCCCACGCTCAAGCAGGAGGACCTATACCATCTCAGACAGGTGATTGTCCAGTCTCTTTTTAAAAACTTCCAGTGATGGAGCGCCCATGATTTCTGGTGGCAAGCTGTTCCACTGGTTAATTGTCCTCACTGTCAGGAAGTTTCTCCTTAATTCCAGGTTGCTTCTCTCTTTGGTCAGTATCCAACCCTTGTTTCTCGTCCTTCCCTCTGGTGCTTTGGTGAATAACATGAATTTCCTTGAGCTTCACAACCAGAATCTTGAACGACAACTCACCCACCCCCGGGGGGGACATATTGTTCCGTAATATTTCTTGTCTCCGAAAAGCAGCTCTTAAACTCTAAAAAATCCAAATCAGGTATGACCAAAGTCCTAAGCTATTTTTCCTCACCGCTGCAGATTCGAGTTCTATTCCTCCGAATGGAATGACGCCAGAATCCCATCTTGGGAATATATCTACTGAGCCAAATCTTCCATTTGAATTTATTCTGGAAATGTGTGGGTTTTTTCCTCCCCCCCCATCCCCAATTTTACAGGACAATTGCTATTACAGCGGCTATGTGGATGGAGTCCCAGATTCTCAAGTCATCCTCTCTACCTGCAGTGGACTTTGGTAATAATAATAATAATAATAATAATAATAATAATAATAATAATAATAATAATAATAATAACAACAACAACAACAACAACAACAAAAACAATAATAATAATAATAATAATAATAATAATAATAATAATAATAATAATAATAATAATAATAATAATAATAATAATAATAATAATAATAATAATAATAATAATAATAAAGTTGGAAGGGACCTTAGAGGTCATCTAGCCCAACCCCCTGCTCAGGCAGGAAACCCTATACCAGGGGTAGGCAACCATGGAAGGGTGCGGACCTGGCGGGGATCACTGAGACCTGGCTGGGCGTGGAAGGAGGAGTGCCTCTTGTGGACATCTGCCCGCCAGGTTTTCAGGCATTCCACCAGCCGAGGACCCGGGGTAGGGGCGGGGGGGTAGCGGTCATCATAAGGGAGAGCCTCTGTCCTAGGGAGACCACTGTGCCTCAGATAGACGGTGTGGAGTCC